TGAAAATACCTCATAAAAAAAGCTGTTTTAACAAACGTAGGCGCTATTATATTACAGCACCATACTTATTATGTATTTTAAAAAAGTGCAGCCAAAAAATCAGCACAAAGGGCATAACTTACAGTCAGTATACTGTGTCCTTTGTGCTGATTCCTCTGCTGTTAGTGGAAATGTTCCTCTGTCCTGCCCCCACCCACTCCTGCTGCCCTAATCTTCTGGTGCAGCGGGGGGGGGGGGGGGGGGGGGGGTTATACAACTAACTGGCTGTCACAGGCTTTCATCAAGAGCCCGCCCCTTCGTCCCAGCAGCTTCATTCATAGAAGCTACTATGAATGAAAAACAATCTATGAATGGAAGACAGGTAGATGAATAAAAAGCCTGCCCCCTCCATTCATAGGCCCTTATTTTTTTGTTTTGTATTTTGGCTGCACTTAGGTATAACCCCTTGGTGCCGACACCTCCTGTCCCTTTAAGGGGTTTGTGACGCCTGGGAAGTTTAGGGTCATGTGACTGTTATGATTGGCTGCCAGAGCGGTCACATGATCAGAAAGCTTCCGATCACTACCTTTCCATGAGGCGCTGGTATATGTGCCGGGAGCTTGCAGGGCGTTGTTGTCCTTGCTGGAGGTTCTGATATGAGGAAGCAAAGCCCTGTCTGCTTCCACACATAGACACAGTGTAGAACAAAACATGATAAGTCAGTAATGGGAAAAAATCAGTGGCAGAGATTCTACAGGCCATACTGGTAACTAGACCTTGGTTCTCTTCTCTGCGATATAAATTATTAAGAACACCATTTGATAATATTCTTATTTGATTATAATCACATAAAATGTAATAATATGATCTGGCCTTTATGTGTATATTTGCATTTGTTTAAATAGTACAATTAGGGCCATGACAAAGGGACAATCTTTACCCTGGCAAAAACTCACTAGTCTCAGGAGAATGCTAACTAGTTTCTTTGGAATCGCTCCCTCACTGGCGAGGGAGAATCGGCAGTGGTCATAGCCTGTGAGGCAGCAATGCCATATAGGAAGGTGAAAGGTTCTCAAACGTGACATCAGTAAGATTATATTTTTTAAAATTCTTCTAACTTGGAGATTGCAGTACAAACTATGCCTACAGCATGTACAGTCAGGTCCATAAATATTGGGACATCGACACAATTCTTACATTTGTGGCTCTATACACCACCACAATGGATTTGAAATGAAACGAACAAGACGTGCTTTAACTGCAGACTGTCAGCTTTAATGTGAGGGTATTTACATCCAAATCAGGTGAACGGTGTAGGAATTACAACAGTTTGCATATGTGCCTCCCACTTTTTAAGGGACCAAAAGTAATGGGACAATTGGCTTCTCAGCTGTTCCATGGCCAGTGTGTGTGTTATTCCCTCATTATCCCAATTACAATGAGCAGATAAAAGGTCCAGAGTTAATTTCAAGTGTGCTATTTGCATTTGGAATCTGTTGCTGTCAACTCTCAAGATGAGATCCAAAGAGCTGTCACTATCAGTGAAGCAAGCCATCATTAGGCTGAAAAAACAAAACAAACCCATCAGAGAGATAGCAAAAACATTAGGCGTGGCCAAAACAACTGTTTGGAACATTCTTAAAAAGAAGGAACGCACCTGTGAGCTCAGCAACACCAAAAGACCCAGAAGACCACGGAAAACAACTGTGGTGGTGAAGAAAACACCCTTCACAACAGTTGGCCAGATCAAGAACACTCTCCAGGAGGTAGGTGTATGTGTGTTAAAGTCAACAATCAAGAGAAGACTTCACCAGAGTGAATACAGAGGGTTCACCACAAGATGTAAACCATTGGTGAGCCTCAAAAACAGGAAGGCCAGATTAGAGTTTGCCAAACGACATCTAAAAAAGCCTTCACAGTTCTGGAACAACATCCTATGGACAGATGAGACCAAGATCAACTTGTACCAGAGTGATGGGAAGAGAAAAGTATGGAGAAGGAAAGGAACTGCTCATGATCCTAAGCATACCCCCTCATCAGTGAAGCATGGTGGTGGTAGGGTCATGGCGTGGGCATGTATGGCTGCCAATGGAACTTATTCTCTTGTATTTATTGATGATGTGACTGCTGACAAAAGCAGCAGGATGAATTCTGAAGTGTTTCGGGCAATATTATCTGCTCATATTCAGCCAAATGCTTCAGAACTCATTGGACGCCGCTTCACAGTGCAGATGGACAATAACCCAAAGCATACTGCACAAGCAACCAAAGAGTTTTTTAAGGGAAAGAAGTGGAATGTTATGCAATGGCCCAGTCAATCACCTGACCTGAATCCGATTGAGCATGCATTTCACTTGCTGAAGACAAAACTGAAGGGAAAATGCCCCAAGAACAAGCAGGAACTGAAGACAGTTGCAGTAGAGGCCTGGCAGAGAATCACCAGGGATGAAACCCAGCGTCTGGTGATGTCTATGCGCTCCAGACTTCAGGCTGTAAATGACTGCAAAGGATTTGCAACCAAGTATTAAAAAGTGAAAGTTTGATTTATGATTATTATTCTGTCCCATTACTTTTGGTCCCTTAACAAGTGGGAGGCACATAGGCACACTGTTGTAATTCCTACACCGTTCACCTGATTTGGATGTAAATATCCTCAAATTAAAGCTGACAGTCTGCAGTTAAAGCACATCTTGTTCGTTTCATTTCATATCCATTGTGGTGATGTATAAAGCCAAAAATGTTAGAATTGTGTCGATGTCCCAATATTTATGGACCTGACTGTACATGTAAAATATTATGTGCATTTAGATCTTCAAAATTGAATAGTAAATCTAGAATAAATTAAAGGAGAGATGTAACATAAATGTACAAACCAGTCAAATCTCTTAGATTGTAATCTCTAACGAGCAGAGCCTTCTGATTCCCCTTGTACCAAATTGTATTGTAACTGTAATGCCTGCCTTCATTTTCTAAAGTGTTGTGCAAACTGTTGGTGCTATATAAATCCTGTATAATATTAATAATAATAATAATAGTAAATTGGAACTGAACAGTTTTTGCAAAGAACCACTTTCAGCTTCTGATAATTATATATATATTATATTATATTATAATTATATTATTAATTAAATAGTTTATGACTTGATGGGGTTACAGCCTGGCATTCTGCCTACATATTAACCGTAGAATCTCCACCTAGCCACCCACACATGTAGGTCACAAAATAAATCATCTCATTTGACTGAGTGTGACCAGAATCTCGGATGTTAACTGACACCCAGGAGTGGAACTTGTGAAATAATTTCCTATGAAAGCCCCAGCAGACAGGGTTGACATCATGAGTCTCAGCATCCATTGGACTTGCAAAGTTCCTTCTTTGAGAGTATGATCCCAGGATTGTGAATTCAGAGATGTTAGACTGTGTAAAGTGGAGCCAGACAAAGGTTCTTCCTGCTAAACAAAAGGATGTAGATGTCAAGCGACACTTTCCTTGACAGACAGACACCTCTGAAACACAAGGACAAGTCTGTTCAGCTCCCAAAACATCTTATGTGGCACATTGACATAATTCATGAAGAATCTTATCTGCAGAGTTCTTCTTTTATCTGAAAAAAAAGCAAATATTCTGCTCCATTTATATTATATTGTAAAAACAAAGACCCAGACCGCTAGTCTGCTTTTACATATCATTTAGCTCTGGGGTAAGGTTAAATTTTACATTAGGAAATACTGTATTCTAGCTGTTAAATGTATTAATTAATAGTAAAAAAAATCAAGCTTTTTTAAAAATCTAGTCTTGTAATAATATGTTGTCACTGCAGTGCAATTGTTCTGGTTATGGTTAGAGTTCAGTGGATCAGTTTGCCAGGTTTGACCTGAACTGGGACTTATGAAATGAGCTGGAGATACATGAACACGTGGTGACTTGTTTCAAATGTTCCGTGTTGTTTACAGATTATGATGATGTCTGGTGAGCCCTTCTATGCTCTCATGGAGCCCTCCCTCCATTGTGCCTTTTAGCTCAGGCCAGAGTTTATACAGTACAAGATTTATACAATAATACAAGATTTGTAAATTATCTGGCAATGCTAGACTTATGTCGGATGTGGAAAAAGAATACATAAATATTTTATGTATAAACATAAAGTTCCAATAAGCATTTATTGGCTTGACCAGTGAATTGTTTATACCTGAAATAAATGCACTAATGTATTTAAGAACTGCATATTCTGCATTAACACTAAAAAATGTAATGGATTGGACTACACTAATACATTGGACTAGCTAGTATACCAATCAGCAAATAGTTTATATACCCCTTAAACAATTTTTACAGTGTATTCAAGGAGTTTGTTATAATTTTGGCTTAAATATGGTCATTATGTTGAATTTTATCAATGAAAAACTACGAAAACCCCCTCTGTTCATACATGTTAATCTTGATTAAACATTTTCTGAATTTCTCTAGCAGTTGTGCAACTCCATTTTCAACTCTGTAATTGTATGTACCATTTGTAAGAACAAGCAGTTATCGAAATAACTGGTCCTCTAGCATCTATACAATGCAGACTCAGCACAGAAAAGAACCCAGATATCTACTTTTGTATGTAATAACTAAATAGAAAGAGCTGTTTCTCTCTTTCCTGAGGCACATGCAGAATGCCTTTGGTATTCTTGATTCTACAAGCATTACTCGCAAGCTCCTCTAACTGAATAACTCTGGAAAGTTCAAAGATTATATTATTGTTATTCTTTCTTGGTTTTCCTGTATAATCAAACATGTTTATGTGGTCAGAATGTAAAGGATAGCAATCACTTTGTAATTAACAATGCTACAAAATGCTGCATATTATTAGAAACTCCCTCAATCTAGAGAAAAGTCATTGTTTTACTTTTTGCTCATTCTACAAATACAACTTTTTATAGCTTACTATCCAGGTCCTATAAAGTTTTTCAACTCTGTCTATAGGGTACAGATATTTCAGTAGTGCCAAATAGATATTGATCTGGTATCAGCTTATCAACTGAGGATTGATCCAGCTTTTAAAGTGGAACTGAACTCAAAAATTAAGATTTGCTTTGTTACAGGGGACAGGCATTAATTGCACTTAAGCAGTACCCTAAAAAAGATCTGCAGATCTGCAAAGTGTCATGCACTATCAGGGGCATACTGACAACTCATGGGGCCCCCGGGCAATAGGGGATCATGGGGCCCCTGTGTCTTTGCCCAAACTCAAAAAAGCCTATGAAAAAGGTACCAGGGGCATATCATGGGGCCCCCTACTGACCCCGGGCCCTCGGGCAGTGCCCGAATTTCCAAATGGTCAGTCCGCCCCTGTGCACTATGTAAGTGTACAATCCAAATGCACACGTTCCTGTGTTAAAAATGGCTGTGTGTATAAGTGGGTGCTGCAGCGATCGTCAACTGGAACCGAACAGAATCAGAAAGGGAAAATGTCACCAGCACACCGAGGATCACCAATATGCATCCAAAAGTTTTAATGAACGGTCACATAGTTACAGCAAGGCAATGTTTCGGAGTCTCGCAGGACCCCTTCATCAGGCATGTGACATCACATCACATGTGCTGGTGATATTCTCTCTTGCTGATTCAATGCACTATGTCTCTGATTGTAAGACCCTTTTCACATTGGTGTGCTTTTGACTCGTGAAATGCACCTTTCAAACACAGCAAAAACGCATTGTCTCTTGAAATCCTCTGAACCACATCACTGCTCTGCAGGCGAGCTACTTTTCTAAATGTCCTGTTTCAAAAGCACACCAATAAATGCACCTCAAATTAAAGTCAATGGAAACGCACAAAAAATGCACTTTGGCACATATTTTGCTAGGTTTTTTTAGCCAAATGTCAAGTTGTTAAGGAGCTGGCACCTACCGGTGTCTTAACAACCAATGATTCATCCCTGCTGCCAGCTGGGGAATCCAGACTAACAGCAGAATGTAAACAAAGGAGCCTGTCAGTGAAAAGTTTAAAAAAATGGCATTGGGGTATCCCACAATCCATACCAGGCCTTTGGCACCATTCCAAAAAAAAATGGTGTGCATCCCCCAAAACCAGGTCACATGCCTTCAACATTGGGGTACTTTGTGGGGGGAATCCCCCACCCCCCGCCAAATCACATTGTACCCATGTTGAATCCTGGCCTGGTAGTTGTGGGGATCTACAGGCTTATCGGAATCTGGAAGCCCCCTTTAACAATAAGGGGGCCCCCAGATTCTGCCCCCCATGTAAATAAGTAAGGGGACCCTCACAGCCACTGGGCCAGGGTTGTAGGGAAGAGGAAATTATTTTTGTTAAATAAGAAAGTAATGTACTACTAGCTGTTCAAAAGATTCAAGGATACCCAAGAGTTCAATGCTCTCTATAGCAGTCATTTGAGTCACCTAGTCTGCTTTTACATATTATGAGTTCTATGTGATCTTACATTTTAATGTAAGAATAACTGTATTCTAGCTGGTACATTTACTAATAGCAAACAAAATTAAGGTGATACTAAAGTCTTTTTTTTCCCCTAAAAATAACAATCATGTCATACTTACCTGCTCTGTGCAGTGGTTTTGCACAGAGCAGCCCAGATCCTCCTCTTCTCGGGTCCCCTGTCAGCGCTCCTGACACCTCCCTCTTGTCGGGTGCCCCCATAGCAAACAGCTTGCTATGGGGGCACCTCAGCAGGTGCTCTCCAGAGCCTGAAGGTAAAAAACCGTGAGACTTTAGAACCACTTTAAGCCGTTTGTTTATCTAGTGTTGAATTGTAATGCAGTGGTTCTTGTTATGATTAGAGTTCAGTGAATGAGGTTACCAGGTTTGATCCAGATTAGAACATATCATATGAGAGGGAGATTTATGAATATGTGGTGGAATGTTTCTAATGATCCGTGTTGTTTTCATATTGTGACAATTGATGAGCCCTTTTATACTGTCATGGAGCCCTCCCTCCACTGTGTCTTTTAGCTCAGGCCTAAATTTATATAAGGTTTATGCCATCATTTGTAAATTGCCTGATAAAGCTAGAATTTACAAAAAAAATAAAAAGGGTGCACTGGAGGGAAGGGCCTCTCAAGTAAACTTGAACAATCAACCCATAAACAGGTGAAAGGTAGCCAAGCACTTGGCTAGCTTACCAAGAGTGAAGTGGACTCTGTTTATTATAAAGCTGGAATTTGCAGGTATTACTGTGAAATAGCAATATGCACATAAAAATGACTGTTATGTTTTCTTAGGAAAAAAGTTATTCCACCACAGATTGGTATTTGTCACAAATATTAATCTCCAGAAAAAAAAATATTATTCTGGTAGTCTCTTCATCGAAAATTCAGAAACACACTTGCCAAAATACACTTTTCTTGCTTCTGGCAAAAGAAAAACAAATTTAAAAAGCAACAATTTTACTATTGTTCTTGGAAAATAAATATTACCCATATATTTGTGTGCTTGATTACTGACAAATAGAATTAATGATGGAATTCAGATGACATTATTTTTGGATCAAAGTTTATGAATTTGCAGGTCTCCAGCTAAACACCTAATTTCAGTGTTATTTTTGACAGTGCAGATAATATTAGATTTGGACCATATTTCATCAATTTGAATGTCCCAAGATTAATCCAAATTGGCAGTTAAGGTTCATAAGATTTCTTAAAGAACAGTACCATAAGCTGCTCCAGAGTTCTTTTTATTCTGTCTTATAGCAGCTTTTGCTGTTGCCTGGTCACCTTTAGCTTGACTGCCAATGCCACCAGATCTCATCCTTCTATATTAGTGACTCTTGTGGAATGTTTAAAGGGAGCTCTCACACAATTTTTTGGCACCTCCATTTCATTAGGCAAACATGGAAGAAGCTTTCTAAATCATTGTGAATATTTTTGCATAATTTTGTAATACACGTTTTTTGGAGTTTGGTTCAGATTCCTGCTAACTTCAGTAGGGCTTCAGAAAGTCTCAAATTTCAGACGTTTGAGAATGTTTTAAAAGTTTGCCCAAACAGGAACATTTTCAGAAATTTGCTGATCTCTGATAATAGCAATATTCTGGATTAGGGGCATTTTTGTTCCCAACATTTGGAGAAGATGGCGCAACTTGTACACTTAGGTCTGATTGAATTCTGCAACACATATTCACTATGCTCTGTGAGTGGGCACTGCTGTGTCACAAATTTCACAGAACCTGCCTTCTGAACGACAAAGTTGCTCAGAGGAGGAGTTTCAGGAGGCGGAGTCACTGCAGGAATAACTGCTTTCAGGCAGCAAGGTACCATGGGATATGTAGTCCTTAGAAATTGAAAGTAAACAGGGAAGCTGCAAAACATGTTGTGAATCCAGGAAGTTGAGGAAAGACATGGACAGCAGACAGTTAGCACTCACACCATAAAGGGAGAGTTTACAAGTAAGCTTATATTGGACTGCCAGAAATAACTATTGTATGTATTACTATTACAATGATGATGCGGCTACAAAATGAGAGTGTATGCTGTGACCACAGAGCTCCTTTAACCCCTTAATGCTGTGCCTTCCAGCTCTTTAAGGGGTTTCTGATGTGGGGAGGCGGGGTGGGGTTTATGATCATGTGACCACCCTGAGTGGCTGTCACAGCGGTCACATGATCGGAAAGCTCCTGATTGCAAGAAGCGATTGGGAGCTTTCCATTAGGGACAGGTAACTGTGCCAGGAGCACATTCAGGTACACAAATATGCGCCCTCTCAGTGTCAGGGCACACCTGCCAGGAGGCCACATATTTGCATACTGTCAGTGCAAAGAGGTTAAATTTCACCCTGTGGATTCTAGGACACCTCTTCAGGTAACAGTCCACAATGTGTTTATACACAACAGTAGCAATTCTCTGGAGCAGCCACAGTAGTTTCCACAGGTTCTTTCCTGAAACAGTGCAGAGGCAGCCAGGCACACAGTTTTAATCCATTAACTCTGGCTCAAAGAACATGGCATGTCTTTTTTAAGGTTTATTGCTTGTAGAAAACTTGTGATAGGTGAGGTTAAAGGGGAGCAGAAAAGTTTGTAAATTCATGGCTAAGGACCATGAAACAGTATGCAACACAAGAATTAGAAGACTAAAACAATCCATAGGTTCACAGTTGGGGATCATGAATAGACTGTAGCACAGGAATTAGTTTCTACTCACAGATCCTGGAGTAGGGTAAATTCAAAGGCTCCCTGCATATGAGAGTAGTCCAGCTGCTAGTTCAAATTTGCTCCATGGGCAAGAGCCCCCTAAAGCTTGCAGATCAGTTCCTTCGTGGAGGAAAGATCACCTCCTCAGTTCTGCAGACCACTTAATAGCAACCCAGTCACCATCTGGACACCCCCTTCCCCAGGGATTAACTGGGCTATGCTGATAATTTGGTCTCGGACATTTTAATTTTTTTATCTGACTTACTGCATCTTCTAATGCACACCGTGTGGAGCTCACAGTGTGCAGTGAAGCACCAGCTTAATACTCTCTGTGATCTATACCACTGAATGTTTGGAGGAGAGCGTAGAACAACAACAAGTGGAACAGAAGGTGATATTGCACACCGGAAGGAGCCCTTTTTGACTCTTTTGCTTACAGCAGGAGGTCCACCTTATCTGGTGAATGTGGTCACAAGAGGAGCACTGATCAAGGATCACATTCTGAGCACAAAGTTACTGTTTATGGTTTGCAGAGCACAGAACACTTTATTGAAAGAATTCAATAGTGAAGTGGAAGCACTGTATCACAAATTTTTTCATTTTTTTTTGGAATTTTTTTAATCAATTATTATGGTTCAATTATACTGTTGAGTTCTGCATAATTATTTTCTTTTCACATTTGAATTCTCCCGCCCTAAGCTTTAGCAGTTTCTTCTAAAAGCAGGGGGGAGTAATCAAAGTCTTAGGCTGTAAAGCCCTGTGCAGACCAAACCAAGCAATTAGTGATCCTTTGAGTACAGCAAGAGTCAAAAATTACATTTACCTAACAGCCTAACCAGGTGGGGGGAATGGCTACACCAGGGGAGGACTGACAACTCATGGGGCCCCTGGGCAATAGGGGATCATGGGGCCCCTGTGTCTTTGCCCACACTAAAACCACACGCAAAAAAGCCTATGAAATGTACCAGGGGCATTTCACGGGGCCCCCTACTGACCCCGGGCCCTCGGGCAGTGCCTGAGTGCCCAAATGGTCAGTTCGCCCCTGGGCTACACATACATCATTGATTTTAAGTAGGAGTGACTGTTCAGAAATTTGAATCACCTAATTAGGTTCTTCATTAAGACAATCAAATTTATCAGTAGGGAGAATTACGGCATGAAATATTTCATCCCCTTTTATTTTTATATTGGATTATGTATTAGTATAAAAGTGGTACCAAAAGGCAAACATTCTTTTAATTAAAATAAAGAAGATGTTATGCTTACCTGGTCTGTGCAACAAAATTGCACAGAGCTGGTCCCTTACCTCATCTTTGGTCCACTCCTTCTTCCAGTGGGTGCCCCTATAGCAAGCCATGTGCTATGGGGTCACCCATGCAGGTGCGCTCCATAGAAACACAGAGCCGGAGAGCCATAACCCCACTCCCTCCTCACAGGAGTTTGACTGACAACACCAGGAGCCTAGGGCTTCTGCTGCTGCCTGTGTCTCCTGTGGGAAGAGGAAGTCAGTGGAACGGTGCTGGAGACAGGATAGCGCTGGATTGTGATAGGAGGCAGGTAAGTATTTAGGGGGGAAGAAGAGCTAGTGGAACCTTTTTTTTAATCCAGGGAATGCACATTAATGCAGTAAGATCAAGACTAGCTATATAGCTGTATGAAATTAAATTTGAAAGTATAACTAGTAGGATAAAGTGGAGGTGGATTAGAACACCTGTCAGGATTTTAGTGCAGGGAGATTCAACCTCTCTATTTGTCCTGTTTACCATTATCAACGAAAGTGAAAGTAAAGCAAACCCCAAATTTTGGGTTGTCCCCAGAAAAGTAATAGAGGGGAAATTTTCCAATGGGGACACTAGTTCTGGTGACCTGGGGATCCCTAAGGAATGCCCTTATTTTGCAAGGATGTTTTCTCACTTCCTGTTATGGCTATGGGACAGGAAGTGAAGGTAAATCTTTCCAATGGGACACAGATGGCAAAAATTAAACTGACAGGGATTTTAACCTCCCTTACTCTATTCAAAATGAAAAAAAAACATTTTTTGCCTATAGTTCCACTTTAAGAAGTCACACAGAGATACTTAAGCATGTCAAAAACCTTGACACTTGAACAATCACATTATCACCAAATGGTTTAGTCATGACAAGCAATGTTAAAAATTGCATCATTATGTGGGCATTCCTACATCCACACTAAGCATAAAAGCTATGTTCTGATGAATATGTTTTTATGTATTTATACATATTTTGCTTTATAATGTATACCTTTTAAATTATATTTCTTGCATCAGAACTGGTGTCTGCCACTGTCAACAGTATTACTGAGGTGGGGCATTGGAAGCGTGACTCAGGGAAAGTGCAGCTACAAGAAGTATCTGTTCCTTGTCATGCTGCACTTTGATCCTAACCCCTGGTAACAATATGAAGTATGTTTTGAACTCTCTTGTGGTCTTCCCTACGCATTACAAACCACATGAATATTTAATTTTCTTCACAACATATTTAGAGACACACGTAATTCTTGTGTTGACCGTGTTTTAGCCTCATCATGTGGTGTCTGAAAAAATGTTCAAAGCTGATCTCAATGAAAGTTAAGCAGTGTAAACATATAGAATTCACTCACTTTGCTTCTCTGAAAAGATTGTGATGAGGTAATGGGAAGTCACAGTTCTCCCTGGGAGCATTCACATTCAAGCTGATAAAATGTACCCATCACCTACACAAAGTGGAAGTAACCAGTGTAACTAGAGTGCATTTGTGTGGCACTCCTCCTTATGGGGTGATGTGGAATGACCCCCTAAGTAATGTGGCAGGTTAACAGTTCCATTTTAGTGGTGGATTATTGTGTATGGTGGGAACAAACTACAGTGGGAGCCAGTCACTTTATTTTTGTTATTGCTGAACTTAAAGCAGAACTAAATCCATCAATTTAACTGTTTCCCAAAACAGCAATCAACAAGGGTATGCTCTGGTACCTGCCAATATCCCTATACATATAGACAAACGGCAAATGGTGCTCCCCAATTTGTTTGAGAATATATCGGCAGAAATGCATCAACTGTTTTAAAAAGAGATTCACATCGATCTTTTAGTTAATCAAAAATTATTTTTAAAAAATGTGTTATATTAATAAACTATGTCTGTTGGCTTTTTTTTCCAATAAGTACATTACACCAACAATGTAGCATATAGTTGTGACATTGAAGGCTTGATTTGCAGAGTTTAAACCATAAAAACCCGACACGTTTCAGAGTCACTTGGCTCCTTCTTCAGGGATAACTCTGCAAAAGGGACAGTGTCATCTGCAAACATTAAGTTACATGTTTTTCAGAAGACACTTGGTATCAATGAAAATATATCCTATTGTTGTATATATAAACGAACAGGGCCCTCTGATTCCTCTTGAAATTCATCTTAAATTATATTGTAACTGTACTGTCTCCCCTCATGTTGTAAAGCACTGTGCAAACTGTTGGTGCTATATAGAGCTGTGCTTGATGACTTGAACATCGGCCATTTGTGTGTTCTGCGAGCACATGAACAGTAAGGGCGTTTGGCAGGCTGTTTTCCCACTGTGCCCCACAATGCACTGTGGTCTGACAGTACATTGTGATTGGCCAAAGCAATCCACCTGACCACAGGTCAGGTGAAATGCTTTGGCCAACCGCAGTGCATGATAATGTCACAAGGGGTGGGGTCACCCTGTTGACATCACCAGGTGGACCCGCCCCTTAGATATTTAAGAGCTGTCAGGCCAGCACAGCTGTCAGATGGCGGGACCCAGTGTCAAGAGCTTTCTTTTTTTTTCCTTTTTTTAGGTAATGGTGACGGGCATCATGATTGACATTGGATCTACTTCGGGGGGACATTTTTTTAATTTTTGTTTTTAATAAAGGACTTGTCTGATAAGCCTCCCACCCGCAGACCCCCACAATCACCGGCTATGGACAAGGTGCTTTGGGGGGGCATGTTGAGGGCATATGGCCTGGTACTGTTCAGGAGGGGGGGTGCTCGCTCATCTCCCCCCTTTCCTAACCTGCCGAACTGCATGCACAGATAAGGGTCGTCTGGTATGGATTTTGGGGGGAACCCCATGCCATTTTTTTTTAATTTTGACTTGGGGGACCCCCTTAAAATCCATACCAGAACGGAAGACCTTGGAATGGATGGGGGGGGGGGGACTCCACACATTTTTTTTAGCTTAGGGGAACCCTGCTGACAGCTGAAACATTAAAGAATGTTTTCACTACTAAAATACCACATGACTTAATAATATAACTCATGCGGTATTTTAGTAGCTGTGCGGTATCTTACCGCATATGCGGAGGCGGTAGGATACTGCTTAATGAATTGTCCCGGTTCAAATGTTCAACCGCGAACTGAAGAGGGGGGTGTTTGGCCCATCACTAGTGTTATATAAATCCCATATTATAATATTAATATTAATAATAACATAAATCTGTAATTCTCAATCTGTCATGTCAACCTGTCCCAAAACATTTACATTCAAGGCAAGGCATGATGACTTGTGCTCTTAACCAAACTGTCAAACTGTAAAATGGCTGGAGACATAATTGGTCACTGCAGCACCATGGCATGCAGGTCAAGACCAAGATAGCAGCTTCCTTGGCTGTGAAGGATAGGAGGGTTTAGTTCTTCTTTAATTCCAGGAGAGAGGGTTTGGAAGTGCAGGATACCCAAAAAGAGTAGAAAATTAGGACTGGTGTTCCAAAAAATAGCAGGTCCTTTAATAGCAGCCTCTTGGTAATTGCTGGCCCCATGAGAGCAGCCAGGCAGTTGTATGACCCTGTGAGAGCAGTCATAGTCTTCCTTTTTTGCAGTGAATCTCTCCTTTCTCAACCTTGCTCTTGACCCTCTGCATACAGTCAAAGTCCTTGATGTATGGGCAATGAATCTTTGCAAATTCCAGCTTCTTGTTACACTCTGCGCCTGCAGAGAACACCTGAGCAAAGAGTACTCCTGGTGATTCTGAAGTGTTTTTTTTTGTGGAGGGGGGGAGTGTTTTTAAATCATTTAACAAGCTTTGTGTAAGACTTTTTGCACATGTATCAAGCTTCAGGCATTTGTTTTGCTGGGCTAGGCAAGGGAAGAAGTTCTCCAGGCACAGAAACGCACACAAAAACATGTGAAAACGTGTGTGTTGTGCATTTACAGGAGCTCCCTTGGAAGTCTACAGGGCCAAAAGGCCTGATTACATTCAAAAGATAGATCATGTTTTTTTTTGAGCATACAAGTGACTGCACAATGAAATGTGAATTGGCACAGTTATAAACGATGATATTCTGCTTGTTGAATGCAGTCAGACATAGGGAAACATACTACAAAATGTCCTGGTGTGAATAGGGGCTTCAGCAGAAAGATTCCTTACCTCCAGGCAGCCATCTCCTTGCTCAGCTTCCTCTGGAAAACAACTTTCAGGAGGGCAACTAAAGTCCTGGATCTACAGCACATGTGCTTAAGTGAGGCAAGATCCCAATAGAAAGCACGCTCTATACTGACATTCTCTCCAGTCAGTAGTCCATGGGGGAAGAATACTCTGGACAGAATCCTCAAACATGTATTATCTCCCCAAACTGTACCACTAAAGATAAACATTGGGGATTAGTTGGGGCAAACAAATACTGTCCTTCCCACACTGACTACTGGAACCTCCTCAACAGTAGCAGACAGAAGCAATGAACGTACTAAGCTTAGGAGAACTAGCAGAGGCCTGGAACATGTAAACAAAGCTCAGGCATGTCACAACCTAGCAGCAAAACACAATATTAGGGGCACTGCATCTTAGGATATGGTCCTTACACATTGTGTAGTTCAAAGTGAGTGTTATGCTGTGACATGTAAACATAATGACTTTGAATTTTTCAGAAAAAAATGGTAAACACTACCTTACATTTGTTTTTATTTTTCCACTAATGCATTGATTGCCCACTCCTTTAATCCAGACCCAGCATCCTTGCATAAAATGTGACAATTGTGTAGCTTTCTTTGGCTTATCACACACTCTTTGCCAAC